CTGCTGGGTCGGCCCCTCCTTGCGTGTGCGCATAGGGAGGGCTCGCCATTCTAGGGAGCCATCCAACAGATCAAGCATGAGGTCCGCTATAGGATATCCTTCTCCATTGGCAATGGGTGGGTCGCCGTTGCATATGGAGTTTCCTAGCGTGTTTCTATCTGTTCTAATATGATGTCGTTGTTGGGGAACGTTGCAGAAAACAAAAAAATTCCTACGGTTTCACCAAGATCCATCTAGGAGTTCATCTAGCAACGAGTGATCGGATTGCATCTACATACCTTTGTAGATCACGCGCGGAAGCGTTCAAAGAACGGGGATGAGGAAGGCGTACTCGACGTGATCCAAATCACCGGAGATCCTAGCGCCGAACGGACGGCACCTCCGCGTTCAACACACGTACGGTTAGCGTAACGTCTCCTTCTTCTTGATCCAGCAAGGGAAAAGGAGAGGTTGAGGAAGATGGCTCTAGCAGCAGCACGACGGCGTGGTGGTGATGGAGCTGCAGTACTCCGGCAGGGCTTCGCCAAGCACTATGGAGGAGGAGGAGGTGTTGGAGAGGGAGAGGGAGGCACCAAAGGCAAAGGTGAGAGGTCCTCCCTTCCCCCCACTATATATAGGGGGCCTAGGGGGGGGGGGCGCCGGCCCTAGGAGATGCAATCTCCTAGGGGGGGCGGCGGCCAAGGGAGGAATCCCTCCTCCCCAAGGCACCTAGGAGGTGCCTTCCCCTCCTAGGACTCTTCCTTTAGGGTTTTCCCCACCCTAGGCGCATGGGCCCTAGGGGGAAGTGGCGCCCCAGCCCACTTTGGGCTGGATCCCTTCCCACTTCAGCCCATGGGGCCCTCCGGGATAGGTGGCCCCACCCGGTGGACCCCCCGGGACCCTTCCGGTGGTCCCGGTACAATACCGGTGACCCTGAAACTTGTCCCGATGGCCGAAATAGCACTTCCTATATATAATTCCTTATCTCCGGACCATTCCGGAACTCCTCGTGACGTCCGGGATCTCATCCGGGACTCCGAACAACATTCGGGTTACTGCATATACATATCCCTACAACCCTAGCGTCACTGAACCTTAAGTGTGTAGACCCTACGGGTTCGGGAGACATGTAGACATGACCGAGATCGCTCTCCGGTCAATAACCAACAGCGGGATCTGGATACCCATGTTGGCTCCCACATGCTCCATGATGATCTCATCGGATGAACCACGATGTCGAGGATTTAATCAACCCCGTATGCAATTCCCTTTGTCAATCGATATGTTACTTGCCCGAGATCCGATCGTCGGTATCCCAATACCTCGTTCAATCTCGTTACCGGCAAGTCACTTTACTCGTACCGTAATGCATGATCCCGTGACCAGACACTTGGTCACTTTGAGCTCATTATGATGATGCATTACCGAGTGGGCCCAGTGATACCTCTCCGTCATACGGAGTGACAAATCCCAGTCTTGATCCGTGTCAACCCAACAGACACTTTCGGAGATACCCGTAGTATACCTTTATAGTCACCCAGTTACGTTGTGACGTTTGGCACACCCAAAGCACTCCTACGGTATCCGGGAGTTACACGATCTCATTGTCTAAGGAAAAGATACTTGACATTGGAAAACTCTAGCAAACGAACTATACGATCTTATGCTATGTTTAGGATTGGGTCTTGTCCATCACATCATTCTCCTAATGATGTGATCTCGTTATCAATGACATCCAGTGTCCATAGTCAGGAAACCATGACTATCTGTTGATCAACGAGCTAGTCAACTAGAGGCTTACTAGGGACATGTTGGTGTCTTTTATTCACACATGTATTACGATTTCCGGATAACACAATTATAGCATGAATAAAGACAATTATCATGAACAAGGAAATATAATAATAATGCTTTTATTATTGCCTCTAGGGCATATTTCCAACAGTCGTTGGTTTCCACGGCGGCCCATGATGGCCATTGGAGCATCATGTTCCAGTGATCATTTGGGCCCATGGAGATAGTCGAGTGGGCCAACTTGTGTGTTGCCCTCCCGTCGGTGATCGCGGACCATCCAGACATCGTGTCTTGGCAGCTACCCCCTGGGGATCTTTTCTGTTGGCTCAGCTTATCATGCCTTATGTCGCCGGCCTTCCCTTTCTTGGACCTTTCAGCTATGGAAAGCCCCTTGCCTCTCAAAAACAAAATCTTTGTTCGGCAGCTTTTGCGGGTTCGCCTCCCATCTGGGACGTAGGTGATCAAGTTGCACGACCCTGGGGGATGGGATGTGTCCCCTTTGTACTGTCTTGAAGATATGGACGGACATGTTCTCGTGCTCAGCAGCGACAGCTCTTTGGAGCTATGTACGTGAGGCTCTAGGGCTCGATTGGGAGGCCCTAGACCTGGTCGGGTTCCTACAGACCCATGCCAACTAGATCGGGAGGAGGAGACGCTTCTTCTGGCTTGTGTTTGCGCCTCTAGTTTGGACCCTATAATCGACATGTAACAAGATGATTATTGAACGAGCCTTTCTTAGGTGGGCCTCTGACTTGTTCTTCAAATTCCTTGTATTTTGCAGCACTTGCACCCGTTTTCTAGGCAGTGGATCACGACTGGCTTGGACACATTTTGAACGCTTTGACTGCGACGGCTCTTCGTCTTCTTCCCCGTAGATCTCTTGAGCTACCGACCACTTGGTGGTCCCCCCTATTTTGTGGGGCTTTTTTTACTTTTTGCTGATGCCTCATCAGCCAAATTTTTTATTTTTGGTGCGGCACTTAAATTTGTTGTATGGTTGTGATGATTGCTTTTTTTTTCCTGACACTAATAGTGATGTTAACTCTTTTATTTATAATAAAGCGTGGAGAAAGTCTGATTCAAAGTATCAAATTTTGTGTCGAAAGGAGACGGGAAAGTACAATTATAGGCCCATCGGAAAAAATTAAAACAAAATCAGCCCATAATAATCCGTGAAAAGCATGAGTCCGACTAAGATGCGGTCGATCTTGCAAACCTAGGCAGCCCACGCACGCCCAGGCCTGCCTCTCGCGTGCCCCCTTTTATTGGCCCCGTCCCCTTCACCAAACGCGAAAGCTCTGTTCCGGTCTCCCGTCTCGCTGTGCCTCCTCCTGCCCTCCGCTCGCCTAGGGTTCGCTCGCTCGCTCGTCCCCAGGTTCGCTCGCGATGGACCAGGGCGACGTCGCCGTGGCCGTGCCCCCCGCCGCCCCCTCCTCCTCCTGCGGCGGCGCCGGCTGCAAGAAGGGCAAGCGCTTCGAGATCAAAAAGTGGAACGCCGTCGCGCTCTGGGCCTGGGGTAAGCTATTGTCGCTCGCTCGCTCGCTCTGGGCCTGGGGTAACCTATTCTCGCTCGATCGATCGCGTTCTGCTCTTTCGTTCGCTTGATTTTCGCCTGACCCGATGCGATTCTGATCTCGTTCTTCCGTGTTTTGCGCGCAGATATTGTGGTAGACAACTGCGCCATCTGCCGTAACCACATCATGGACCTCTGTGAGCACGCGTCGCGTTCGCCGCTTCGCATCGATTTTGTTTCCACGATTCTAGGGTTTTCGGTGTGAAATCTGACCCGTGACGTTTGTGTGTGTATGCAGGCATCGAGTGCCAGGCGAACCAGGCCAGCGCCACCAGCGAGGAGTGCACCGTCGCTTGGGGTATGATACAGATCTTCTTTCCTTGCTTCCCCTGTTTCCTGCCGTATAATGTTGCAATTCCCCTACTATTGTATAGTCTTGCAATTGCCGTAGTTGTCATTGTTAATGTAAGGGTTATTTGAGTATTAATAGCTGCTCAATCTGGTATTGGACATGCTGTGAATATTGGTGTGTTTTTAGAAGTCTTAACAAGTTTCTTAGTCTGTGGTGGCTTTATTAGGGGTTTCATTGATTGAACTATTGGAGAATTTTGTATGCTATTTGCTGATGCCTGACGATAATTTTTTGTTGTTGCTCTGCTCTGTTACAATGTAATATTTATTTTGGTTGGTTCGTGTTGCTGTGCTACTAATTATTTGCTCAATATTGCTTGTCTGATGTGAGCCTTGTTAAGTTATACTACAACCTATATGGCATTGGGAGTCCTTGGGTTTCCATGGTTTCCGTGCAAGGGGATTTACTTATTCGGCACTGCCGCATGAAGCTGGGTATGTGTTATGTACATGCAACGATGGCTCCCCTTATCTGGCTGAGCTGAAGTTACAGCTGATGCTTATTTATCAACTTGTTATTCTCCACTGTTTTATAAAAACAATTAGAATGTGCTGTTGAGGATTTGTTGCTCAGTCGTAACACCATGCTCAGCAGCCTAGTGCTTATCGACTTCTGTAATATTGTTTTACTCTTTGAATTGTGGTATTGAAGGTATGGGGTACTATCCTGGCTTATGTGGTCTAGTGACCAACCTCGTAGTAAACTAGCATCCATTTATTACTCTTTGTCTTCAATTCAAGACTGACAGTGCAATGTTATTTAGGAAGGAACCTACCATCTTATTCTGCATTCTGCTATCCTTGAGTTTACTTGAAGGTGGACAATGATTGTCATTCATTCGTTCTAAACTTATTTCTAGGCTAAAATCAATTTAGGGAAGTCACAGAATATTTGGTTTAATCTATGTTCTTAACTGCACTTAGTTCTCCCTCCTTTGGCAAATATAAGGCGCAATAGTTTCTATGATCTTCTGGCGTATAGTGCAAGGCATCTCTTGTATTCAGGTATAGCATCTGTTGATTGCAAAAGGAAGTTACTACTGTGCACTTGACAGATTGGCGAATGACTTCCCTTTGTAATTAATCATTTATAATTGTTCACTTCTAGTTATTCCCAAAGTAAAAGAAAAAAAGCGCCAGACATTAACTGTACGTTTTGCCACTGACTTGTGCTTTTCTGACCAAAACACACACTTAATTGCAATTATCTGCACATTAAGATTTGGGCTTTTTGCTATCGCGTGCCTAGGCACACCTTTTTTAACTATGGTTACGCCTTCAAGTAATAACATGGCATTTGGTTTTAACTTAAATAAAATATAGGTTACAATTTGGATTCTCCATATTTTTAAATTTTAATTGCCAGTTGAGTTTTTTTTTCGAAATACCTACCAATTCCCAGAGAGTAAACAATGTCAAAATACATGAATCAGGTGTTACTGGAAATTGATCAAAAGTGATTTCTTGTGCCATCATGTTTAGGACTGCATTGTGTAGTAGGGATCTGTATTTAGATCAGAAGCTGTTTTTTCAAGAGTAGCATATGATGAGATCATTGGTTGATAAATAGTTTCTTGATCTTACATGTGGACTGTTTGTTTCTGTTCTATGATTCCAAAGTCGGCATTTTGACTGCATCAGCTTCTTGATCATTTAGACAGACATTATGCGCAATTATCAATGGTAGTGAATTCTCTCCTGGAAGATTATCATAGTTGTTCATTGTTATTTTCTAGTGATACCGGACATTGCATTGTTTTTTTACATTACATGTTGCAGAGGATTGCATCTGACTATGTGGTTAAGGGTTTGCAATTAACTGAGTTAAGTTATGGCCTGTTTGTATTTTCTCAGGAGTTTGCAACCATGCATTCCACTTCCACTGCATCAGCCGTTGGCTCAAGACCCGTCAAGTGTGCCCTCTAGGTTTGTAGCCCCGTTGATTTCCCCCAGCATCACTGTTGCTTGCTACTCCTGTTCACTATCCTGACGTTCCATTTTGCATTGCAGACAACAGCGAGTGGGAGTTCCAGAAGTATGGTCACTAAGACAGTCATGGCCAGGGGCGAAGTTACTTAATGGTTGTTTAACTTTAGTGCTATTAGTGATAACTCCTGGTTAAGGATAGTGGATGGTTGGTTGATGTTTCTGGAGCTTGGATTTTTATTAAACCACATGTATCCTTGTTGAGTACTGTTCATCATGTCTATGGATCTCTCTGTTTTGCAGGAATTTAAGTGTGAATTTGGTGGGTACTCAGTTTGTGTCTGCGTGTGAAATTTTACTACCTTATGATGTCGTGCTTCTATCTAATTTTCAGTGACATTTGGCTTTTCTCCTGATAATTTGTCTCGGCTACAGAATAAATCGTTTAAAATTGCCATATACTCCCTCTGTAAAGAAGTATAATATTGTCTAAAATTGCCATATGCTCTCTCTATAAACAATCTTATACGTATTTCTTTATAGAAGCAGTCTTTTAAAATGGCACGCAAAGTTGCCATATCGGTCAAAAATTATGATATATAATGTTAAGAATAAAGCGACATCATTAGCATTAAGGGTCGTCACGTGTGTTTAAAGCGCCGTACGGACGCAAATGTCCGTACAGGCGTCTTCTTGCGCCACGGGCGCCTCTCCGGAGGCGCCCCAAATCCTTGTATAAATAGGGCTTTGCCCAGAATAGGGATGGCAATGGGTACCCATTACCCGCGTACCCGGCGGGTAAAAACCCTATTAGGGTAAGGGTATGAGATAAAAAAATACCCATGAGTATGTAAATAGAAAAATACTAAACCCATTGGGTACAGTGGGTATGGGCATGGGATAGCATAACCCATACCCGTGTACCCATATACCCACGTAAAATCTGTTAATGGACCTTCACAGCTTCACTATTCATATATCAATCTAACTTCCCACAAAATTAGTCTATATATTCCACGAGATACATGTAGCATTGTAGCCCACATACGCACGTACATGGAAAGAATCTACGTGATTAGCGTGATTTGGCTTCGGCGAATAAGGAATACGTGATCACATCCCATATTGAGAGAGACAGAGATTGATATCCTCCTCGTCTCCTCGTGACCTCGTCTCTCATCTCATCTGATCATCTCGGGGCTCCTCGCCTCCTCGGGCATCGCTACTTTGCTAGTCGCCGCTGCCAATGCGTCCAGCTGCTGGCTACCTCGCCGTCGCCAGTGCTTCCAGCCACTCAGACGCCATGGACCTTGGGGAGGACCATAGCCTACGCGAGGACGGCGACCGGGAGAAGGAGATGCAGCTCACGCTCAAGCGGACTGAGTCGGACGGCGGCGACCACCACGGCCAGGAGCATGGGCATGGCACGGCTGCCCTGATCCCAAGCCTAACACCGTCGTTGGATGGTGCCATCCGTCTCCATCCGCCAGGAAAGGGGCAAGCCCCCGGCCGACGTAAGGGACCTCTTGTCTCGGCGTCGAAGGTGCAGCAGCGTTACGACACTTCAAGCCGGCCACGTCGCCCTAGCCCGCTTAGTCGATCCTCTACTGTCATCAAGCACAAGAACAAGAGCAAGGCTATATTGGCTTGGTGAGTTTCAATTTTATGTATGATTTTGTGCATTCGTAGATGATACATAGATGTATAGATGATGTGATGATATGATGTTTTTTTCGTGCATATATAAGTTAAAATAAGTATTGATTTTCTACCTATGCATGATGTATATAGCTGCTGTGATGAATGAGGTTTTTGTATATCTGAGAAAAGAAGTATTTGTTACTGAGATGAGATAAGTGTAGCAAATTGTGTTCTAGTACATCACTCGCTGTGTGATTTTTTAGCATTGTAACAACATAGATAGAATCGGCAGTGGCCGGTGGCAGAATATTTTAGATCTATTTAATGTGGCGTGGTAACTGATCGTCTCTGCTTTTGTACAAGATCATTTTGTAAACATCTACCTTCCCAGTTTCCAGGGGTAAAAATGCAGAGACATTGTAACTTGTTTCAGACTACTTATAGTAAACAAAATACAGTAAGATTCAGGCCCATTTAAGACAGCACTACAGCTGCACGTTTTGGTCAGAGAAATGATGACTTGCAGTTAATAAAAATGCGAAGTGCTCTACGATTCAAAATTAACTCTTCCTGGAAATATAATTGTTGGACTGAAAAGAAAGAATGCTGAAAACAAAAAATTAACTATTTATAGTTGCTGTGATGAATACATTTTTTTGTATATAGATGATATCTACAGATGTTATGATGCATATATGAGCATCATACTTTCAGTTCACATGTAGAATCAAGTATTATATTAAGAAGACTTCAAGAATTTGATGTATTTTTTCATTTATGCTCATTTTGCAGTGGTACAAGTTCAAGCAACCAAGTAGATGTTCCTTGTGATGCATCTGCCCCAATGGATGAAGATGGAGATCATGTCATTCTTTCAGATGATGAAGATGGACAGGAGCAGGAGGTGGAAGAGGTCAATGAAGCAGGCAAACGGAAGCTAACTTCTAAAGTTTGGTTGGAAATGAAGAAGATCAAGATCAATGGGCAATGGAAAGCAAAGTGCAACTATTGTCACAAGGAACTTGTTTCAGGACCCAGAGCAGGCACGAAGCATCTTGCTACTCACCTAAAGATTTGTACTCTGAAGATGTTGAAGACGAAGGGAGGCAAAACATTGAGTCAGCCATCATTGAGGATGAATGCTAAGGACGACGGTAACGTTTTTTTGGAGAGCTATACCTTTGATCAAGAGGTTGCTAGAAGAGAGCTTGGTAACATGTTGGTGTTGCATGAGTACCCACTGTCTATAGTGGAACATGCTGGTTTTAGGAAGTTTGTTCATGCACTTCAGCCACTATTCAAGCTACATACAAGAAATACTTTTAGGTATACCTTGCTATGGTTTTATTTGATTTATTTCCGTCTACCTTCTTCTATGAAATGAGGAGGTAACATATGGTATCCTCTTCTTTTGTCTTTTAGGCAAGATATTGTGGAAAATTATGAAGAAGAAAAAAAGAAGGCAATTGATTACATGACTATGAACCAATCTAGGGTTGCTATCACTACAGATATGTGGATTGCTGACCACCAAAAGAAGGGATATATGGCTATTACAGCTCATTTCATTGATGAATCTTGGAAGCTTCGAAATGTTATCATGAGGTACTACTATGTGCTGCTGTATATTATGTGTTGCTGATCATATGCTGCTGTTTATGATGTGCTGCTGTTTATGATGTATTGCTGACTAAGATGTGCTGCTGTTTAATATGTGTTGCTGTCTATGAAGTGCTGCTGTTTTTATGTGTTGTTATTTATTATATGCTGTTGTTTATGACTATATGTTGCTGAATACTGCAGGTTTGTATATGTTCCAGCTCCTCATACAAGTGAAGTGATATGTGAGGTGCTCTATGACTCCCTGCTTCAATGGAATATTGATGAAAAATTGATGGCAGTGACTGTGGATAACTGCACCACCAATGACAAGGCAATTGAGATGATTGTGGGGAAGATAGGGAAGGAGAAGCTCCCTTTGGAAGGTACTCTGCTGCATATGCGTTGTAGTGCACACATCTTAAATCTTATAGTTAAGGATGGATTGCATGTTATGAAGTCAGCTATAGAAAACATTAGGGAAAGTGTGGCATATTGGACCGCGACAGGAAAAAGGATAGAGAAGTTTGAGGAGATGGCTAAGTTTAAGAAAGTAAAAATAACAAGAAAGTTGATTCTTGATTGCAAAACTAGGTGGAATTCCACTTTCATGATGCTAGAAGCAGCTTTACCATATAGAGTTGTTTTTGGACGTGCAAAACAAGTTGACAAACAATATGAGCATTTACCTAGTGATAAAGAATGGGAGTTTGCTGCAGAGATGGTGGAGAGACTTGGCTTATTCTATGAGATAACTAAGTTGTTCTCCGGAACTAATTATGTGACCGCTAATGTTTACTTCCCTAGAATCTGTGAGATTAAAATGAAAATGAGACAGTGGGCCACTTGTAGCAACCCAATTATCAAAAAACTCTCTGAGGAAATGACAACTAAATTTGATAAGTATTGGACGGACATTCAAGATCTCATGGGGATGGCTACACTTCTTGATCCTCGGTACAAGAGGCACATGTTGACTGCTTGCTTTGCCATGCTTCATGGCATTGAGCCATCTTCTTATGAGTGTGTGGAGTTGGTTGATGCATTAGTTGCTAGATTACATTCACTGATAGAGGAGTATGAAGTGGAAGTAGATGAATATAAACCATGTGAAGAATTGATTTCTTCAATGAAAGCTCCAGCCATCATGAATATTTTCAATGACATTGTCGCCAAACAAAGTCCTGCTACAGCTCGGTTGCAAGGTGAAATAGATATGTACTTGGCAGATGGCCTAGTGCCATACACAGAAGTATTTAGTGTGTTGGATTGGTGGAAAGTAGCTGGAACAAGATATCCAACATTAAGGAAGGTTGCCAGAGATATTTTTGCCATTCCCGTGACAACAGTTGCTTCAGAGTCGGCCTTTAGTACAAGTGGCAGAATACTTAGTGAACATAGGAGCCGCCTAACTCCTGATATGGTGGAAGTTTTGATGTGCTCCCAAGATTGGCTTAGAAACAAATGCAAAGGTGAGCAAATAATGTAATTTTTTTTCAAACTTACTCTTTATTTAACTATTTCTAATCATGTCTTGTCATCTCTACAAATTGTGTGTTTTAGATGCTCATAAAGGAGATGCTAGCTTTTGGACTTGCCTTCAAGACATTCAAGAGGGGATGCAGGTTAGTATTCACCAACGCATTTCCTTTGCCGATAGATTATTTGAGTGCATATGCTATAAGAAAAATTCTAATAAAATGACTACATTCATGTTTCCAACCAGGACTTGGCCCTTTGAGATGTAGAGACATGGTCTCGGCGAGTTATGCTCAAGATTGACGACTTATTGTGCCAAGGTCTTCGTTATGCTACTATCGGATTGGTCGAGTTTATTTTAATTGAACTAGTTACAATGTCGAAACTTTATTGGGATGCTTAT